CTCTTCACAGAGCAAGGTCTCTATAAACCTGTGAGTACCTCCCTAGGAAGTCTGTACAACAAAACCTAAGTCCCATTTTCAAAGATAGCAGCAGAAACCAGCGTGAATGAAATCCATGGCCCAAGTCACAATAATTTGATTTAAAAAAAACAGTGTTTGTAGTGGATTGAAAACTCTATAAATTAATTTTTTAAAAAACAATTTTTAAATGATACCCATAAATGGAAAAGCCATAAAGACTTCATGTTTTAGCACTTGGTGGCTATTAAAACACCATACTTTAAAAATTGGTAACTAAAGGAAAAAATTAAGGATTCACCTTCTATTCATGTAGGAACTCTAAGATAACCAAATAATTCCAGTTCATTGGAAAAACTCTTCTTTACAAAAAAAAAGGAAAAACAATCTAATAATGTAGAAGGAATGGTGGAGCTAGAAGACTATCGTTCTGCAACCCCTAAAGAATTGGACTTATGCAAGAATTATCAACTGGCATTTAAAAAATCAGGGGGTTTACTTGACGAAGACCCAGACATTTGTTTAGTTCCACTATAGCTACTCCGTGGATTACTTTCTAGACTCAAGGGAAAAATTGCAACTGAAATGGAGGGGTCAGGCTGTCATCATCTTTGCCCTGGGATCAATTTTAATATCATTAATGAAGGGCCAACCAGATATTAAAGTGTCTCCTGATATAGTGTAATAGGTAATATACAGCATCACTAGGAAGTGTTCTAGCTGAAGATGTTGAGCTTGAATCTATCAAATCTTTAGACCTGAGTCTACATACTCCATTTCGTGGGAAATATGGGGATAGATGAATAAGGTAAATGTGAGCACCAGGAAGCAACTAAACCTGTGCTGGACAGTTGCCTCTATCCACAGGTGGTGGCTATTTAAATTAAATTATAAACTTAATATAAATTAAATGACAAATCCAATTGCTAAGCCACTCTAGCCACAAGTGTTGAGAGCCACAAGTGGTAAGTGTCTACTTTATTCTTCAGCACAGACATGACAGGGCAGAAAATTCTGTTGGACAGTCCTGAAAAAAGACAAATCCAGAAGTTAGGGCTTTCCATGACTAGAGGTATTCAAAAAATTAGTCTCATGAGAAAAAAAGAAAACACTGTACTAGATTATAAAACTTCCAACAAGAAGATTGCATCTGGTTTGAATAGCCAGAAAACACATTTTGGGGACATCCAGGGAAATCTGAATACGGACTGGGTCTTAGACAAGAGGAAAATTTATTAATGTGAACAGGCAAATAAAGTGCTATTACTAGTCATCTCAGGTTGATGGGAGTATGGTGTCTTCTTTTTTGTTATTTATATATATTTTCTAAATTCCTACAATGCACATGTAAGACTTCTGAGATAATAAAGGGTTATTTCAATGTTTTTAAAGGTGATATTGCTCACCTGCCAAGAAGAAATTTCAATGGCTGCTCTTGACCTGGGTTCACTCTTGCTTACATCATTTGTCGTAAAGGAGAGGAACCTTCTGGGAAAGCTCTAGGCAGCCCGAGCCAAAGTCCATGGCAGGGCATGGATGTGAAAACTTGGAACTTAGTAATAAAGTGAAGAGAGTTTAAAGTGGATATTGAAAAACAAAACCTTATGGGCAATGACAAAAACAATTAAAGACTGAAAGCAAACAGCCGAAACCAAACAAACAGAAATGACAGCCATTGGAGAGATTAATGGCTAGTTCTAGAAAATTATTAAGAACAGATATGTTTCACTTCCGTTATTCCTCTTGCCAGGATATCATTAACCATATAGAGACATGGCCATTTCGGGGTTGCAACCTTGGAGATATTCCTTTTCTTTCTGTTTTGACATTGAATTTGGAATTTGTCTAAACCAAATTGCTCTTCCTACTGAGAAATTTGTTCTTAGCTAAGTCTCTGCTCCCTTTCTCATTCTGTGCATCCTATTTAGGGACACCAGGGAATTTGTCCAAATACCTACTTATTTTTGCTACTGCTACAGCCTCTATTTTCTCAATTGTTCCACCTGCCTCAGATATACATTCAGCAACAGTTCTTATCAAAGTCATTTCATGCCACCCAGATTCATCAGCTCTTCCCTAAGGTATTGTCCTCTGAATTTTTTTGCAACCAATTGCAAGGTAGCTTACTTGCTTATGCAAAATCCATTATATTCTTCGCATTCACTATGATAACTTTCATTTTGTTTAGAGTACAAACATAGCCATTTAAAAGAAGATCATGCTCATTGAAAACAACCCATAGCCCCAGACTCCCAGGAATTTTGCAACATCTCTGTGATCTGGTTTGGGATGAAGCAAAGTGAGCAGCAGTGGCTGGGTTGGGCTTGCAGAAAAGCCTTTTAAGAGAGATGCTCTTCAATCTTTTTCCCTTTATTTTTCTTTGAGCCTGGATAGCAGGTGCAGGCACCATCTTTGTAAGCAGGAGGATGAAAGCCAGATCTAAGGATGGTGGAGTGGAACCCAGGACATGAGGAGTATCTTGTGGCTGCTGCATTTGTTAGGCTGCCTGCTTGTAGACGCCTTGTTACATTTCTTTTGTTTATCATTTTTCTTGACGTGCAAACAAAGATGATTTTGACTAATGCACAGAGAAAGCAAAAAGTATCTCATAAGCTGTTTTCAAATATTATTATTATTATCGTTAGGAAAGGTGGCTTATAGCTGGACCCATAATACTTGAGATCTCCTTTGTGTTTAGTGTAAATTTAAAGATTGTCTGATTTAGGGAGCAGAAGTTTGTGTTTCTAGTACGTATGTTTTTTAGCTAGAAATATAAAACCTGGTGTATCTTTATTTTTCAAATAGGTAGGGAAAATGTGCTCATATTTTAAGTCAAAATCAAGATTGAAGTACAACCATAAGAAATAAGAAGACTGAAGTCACATTTTCTTTTCCCCTAACTACCAAGTCAGAGTAAAAGCATAAATCCAATAAAATCTGATTGAATTCTTAATCTAGGAAATCTATCTGAGCGCTTGAAGTTGAAGATCACATTAATGTTATCTTAACCAAGCTTGCTAAAGCTCACTCAGCTACTGATAAAACAAATAATAGCATGCATCCTCCTAATAAATACACATTATATTAGATTTTAAAGAGAATTTCCTCCTACTTTTACTGAATTATTTCAAAATCCTAGACACTGGAAAGGCTGTCAAATTCCCTGAAAATATTACCTTTGTGTTCTCTTTTCTGCCAGCAATATAAAGCAGATGATACAGGCATTCTTTAAGTTCTTAAAGAAAATGATTTCAAAAAGTTTATATATGCATTTCTGTGTATTTCTATCCATAAAAAGATAGGTACACATGTTTATCTGTTTAATTCTATCTACAACTGACTTGAATTTCTAACTGTTGATAAGCGGTATGTCATTTAGAGATCTCCTGCACCATATGGAAGAGTCCTGTCAGTGCCCACACATCGTCAATGAATTGTGCATGGTAGGTTTTCATACCAAATCTTCCACAGATGTGACCTGATTCCCTTATAGATTTCTCTTTCTACATTGCTTTACAGCAGTTAAATTTGGACAATTATACAGACTCCCATCTCCTATGCAGCACTTACGAAGTTTAACATCTTCACATTACGACAAAGAGCTTCCAAGCAACAAAAGGGATGGGAGTAACACAAAAGCACTAACATAGAGGTTCTCTCCTCCAGAAAACTTTCAATGTGAGCAAGTAAGCAATGAAATTAGGAATAGAGTTTCCTACAACTACCTTTCTCTCACCGCTCACAAATCCCCAACTTATTGATGAGTTCAGGGCAGACAATGATATTGCTTTAAAATCTCAAGTTCCATGACGTGATATTGCTTCAAATCTTAGTGAAGGGGTGATGCCAGGATGGCACGTCAGCATGGGCCCTTGGCACCCTCCTACAAGTTTAATAGTTGTAACATAGTTTGTTGAAAGAAATGGCCAGGAAATAACGATAATACAAGAACACTAACTAACTTCCTAACAATAACAAAGACGGTAAGATACTGCTGGGGAGATGGAGAGTTGTCTTGGAACCATCTGGGTAGGAGTGATGTGGAGGACAGAGCACCACAGCTTGAACAGGGAGGGGACCGCGAGGGTGGCTATGGAAGAATAAATGAGGCAAAGCTGTTTCAATTCTTCTCTGGTTGAATTCCTATCCTGGAATGCAGCTTTCCAATTGAGGGTGGAGGGAGACGGAATAAAAACCTGGACCTGGACAGATATTTCGGGGGGTGAAATCAAACCAGCATCCCTCCAACAGCTCACATTATTTTGTTTGTACAAAATAGGAAAAGGTACCCCTTCCTCAAGTTAAAATCTTTTGAGGCTGTAGGTCATTATTTATATTAATAAAAATGTAACCATTTTTACTATTGACATGAAATCTTTGTCTATATATCATACAAACCAAATTATTAAACACAATGTACAAAATTCAAAATTTGATTAGAATGGTTAGGTAGTCAAAGTTACCAGGATATAATTTGTTATAAAATAGTCACCTATCTCTATTTCATGGGAATAAAATTTTTTATTGCAGTTTAAATACTTACTGGCTCCAATATCTTGCTTTTGATAAAAATAGTCATTGGACTTAACAGACTTTCTTTTGATGTTGCGGAAGTGATTTTTTATGAATTATTATAGTGAGAAGCTATATTCTGCACTGTTGTAGTTTTGTTGTTGTTTTTGTAATGCTGTCCTGACCCAGTTCTGTGGCCCTGGCTAGAGGCCAGATAGTTCCTCTTCTTGAGCAGCTCATTAACTCCACTCTCTTACCACCTCCCTTGTCAGGCTTTCACATTCCGGGTCACTTTAGTCTCTAATCACCAGACCAGGTACCACACCATCAGCCTCTATTCTCCAGAGCCAAGGAAATTATTCAAATTAGCTTATCTTAGACCTGCTCACCCTGCCTTGGCCTTTCCTTCGCACAGAAACCACAGTAAAGGCTCTTGCCCGCAGCTCCCCTCTCTCTCTGCCTCTTGACAGACCCTGGTGCTTCCCGAGTGGCCCTACCTGGTGTACTGTGCTGTCTCCTGGGGACTGTGAGAATATCAAAACTGTGCAACTCTTTCCAGTTTCCCTCTCTTGATCTGTGTTTGTCTTCACCATACCTCACCCAAGGTAATATGGTTAAAATAACTGTTAACTCATATTGACAAAAATAAATATACCCTTAGAACTATAGGAGTATTTGGAAATGTGTGCAATAATTTTTTTTCTGGAAATAAAATATCGTATTCTAAAAGACTCACTTGATTTTAGAAAACAAGCTAAGGTTTCATTTACCCATCCGTTGATGACTTATCAACTACCACTCCTTACTAATTTTATCAGTCAGTTTTATTAGGATGCAGTAGCACACGGCATATACAATTTAAAGAATTGTAATGAACATCTAGAATGCTAAAAGGTCAGGCTATACATTCAATATTGTACATTTTTGAGAGTGATATCTTTGTATCAAATGTAGAAAATAATAGACTTAGAAATTTAGTTTGGATCATAGGTGGACTAACTATGAGATTTCAGAGAAAAGTGGTTATTTTCCTCCTTTTTCTAAAATTTTCTGAAATGAAGATATTGACAATGTCAAGAGACTGCAATTCCTTTAGCATTAATAACGTATTTTTCTTATTCACTGTTTTATTTTAACCTTCAAGTAATTTTCTAATCTCTTTAAACTTTTAAAGACACTATATAATTGAACTTTAGTTGCTGCAATATTTTGCTTTCAACATTAATATTAATAAAGAATCATGCCAAATCAGTATTATGCAAATCATTTAAAAACATAGTTTTTCAAATATGTACCTTTGGTTTAGCTTCAACAATGCCTATCGTTATTAAAATAATCAACAATTTCTGAGAGATTCCATGTTGCTTCTGAAATTTGTGGTATTAGGGACCAGCTCAGCTTTCCCATGATGTATTTGACAATGGTTTTGAAGCTAAAAAATTAGCTTTATAGCTATTAGATGTTATATAAAAACTAAGAAATCGATTTTTTTGCTACATTATTTACTATAGTTTGAAGAATGAGTAGAAAAGTAATATAAAAAGCCCTAATATGGTTTTTGAAGCTTTTCATTGGAAATTGATACTCTGTGCATATTTGCAGCATTGTTCCATCTTTGGCCCCTGAAATAATTTGTGTGTAAGTTCTTATTTTTAAGTGTCTGTACTAATCTATAGCGCTTCTCAAATGATATGTACTTGAGAAAATTCAAAATATGTTCAAATAAAGAAATATCTTTATTCAAAAGCCAACGAATCTAACAAGAACTGTTGTCTGTTCTACATGATTCATCTCAAAATTGTATCTTTAAAAAATTAAGTAACAGCATTTCTTTTTTTCCAAAATGATTTCAGTTACTACATCCACTATAATTTTAGTGCTCTCTAAAAAGTTTTATTTTTTAAACAATGCATGACATCCTTTGATGTTGATGTTTGATTTCTGCAGAAATGATTAAGAAAATGTTATAATTTTCTACTATAATTTTTGCCAAATGAAAATAATTCTCATTTTCTTATTCATACAATTTCATGAACAATCATCAGAATGTCAGCCTTCACCATACCAAAACTGAATCACATTCATTCAATAACAGCACGTTGATATTTTTTTATGTTCTTATAGTCTATTCTTCAGCATTTCTATTTGCATGCTTTCCAAATTAAATTTAAATGTGAATACATAGCATTATTGTTGACAAACATTTCATTTTCTTTTATTTAGTAAGAATATCTGATGAATGTTGCCAATTTTTGTACTAATTCTCATTCTTCGGTGGATTTTTACTATTCCCCCAAAGTTTGCAATATAGACAGAATACAGAATAGTTTGTAGTAGAATAAAATAACCTGAATCTAGTGATTAATTTGACTATTTGGAATAATTCATATGAAAGTGGTCTGAAATTCTTTTTTCTGTAATGATTTTCAGAAGTTTGAATTTTGTACTTGACGTGGTTAAATTTCAAAAAAACTGTAACATTGCATAATACTCAAATCACACAACCACATACTTGGAACAGCAGAAAGTAAATTCAGTTAAATAAATTCTTCTGTTTTGTCTTATGCTAGTTTTTTTAATTGAAATGTTAGTATTTGTCAAGGAAATAAAAGTAAACTCACATCCTCTTCCATCAGTGACCTATCTTTATTATATTCTATTAAAGTTTGTAGCTCTTAAAGTATTTTCCTTTTCCTGGCATTATATCTATTTTTTCCAAATACTCACTAATTCAACACCCTAACAGTTTTCTATGCTCTATTTTCTGATTCTAATCATTTTTTTTCTTTCTGATATTTAAGGAGAAAAAGCTACAATTAAATGTTGTGCTCATGAAATAAGTGTAACAAGAAATAAATAATGTTTATAACAATTTATGGGTCATCATATGAAAATTTCTTATTGAAGACTATAAAATAATTATGGATTATTACTGGCAAATGAAAGTTATTTGTTACATAGTTATTCATGTTATAGTGAAAGTACTTATTGGCTTAAATTGGGAAATCAAAAACTAATTTAAATTGGAAAATCAACAAGACAGTAAAAAGGGGCATGTGATAGTCTCTGTAGCACTGTAATATAGTTTTCTTAAAATGTTGTCTTGACCCAGATTTGGGGCCCTGGCTAGAGGTCCATCAGGTCCCCTTTTTGATGAAGTCCACACCCCCAACCATGTCACTGATTAGGCTCTCACACTCCAGGCCATGGTGCACCTACTCTAGTGACCCCAGGGTCAGGAACCGCACAACTAGGGACAGCCTCTATTCCCTGGGAACCCAGGAAATTATTCAGATTAACAAATCCACAGCGAAGCTACAAAACCTAGCTGAGCCCACCTCACTTGCCACAAGAAGCTGCTGCCTGCAGCCCCAGCTTGCTGTCACCCTGGCCCTGGGTGCCACCCACTGGCAGCCTTTTCTTGTTTGGAGCTATAAGCAACAAAAAGTTTAGGCTTTCTTCTGTCCAAGTGCCATTGTGTTGTGTTCCATCATCAAAAGAGTCTTTACATAAAGCAAGTGTGGAATTGTAGGTAGTTCAACAAGTGCACTTATACCACGAAGGCATTCTTTTAAGATACACGTCAATCAGTACACCAATTGGAATTCCGTCTTCTTCTATGAAGGTCCTCTTTATTTTACTTTTGGTCAAATCAGTGAAGTCTTTCTAACGTCAAACTTGCCCATCTTTCATAATTTGAAATAGAACATTTTAGACCACCCTTGTTAGAACAAGACATTATACCATCCTCTACTGGAAAATTTTTGTAAGACATACAAATAATTTATCTTGGGAATCAATTAGTTTTAAGATATTTTAAAAAATAAAAATAATATAGACAACTATGATGTTTATAGTGTCCTTTAATGTGACACTCTTGTGTAATATGCGCCTTGAGAAACCACACGAAGCAGCTCTGTAATGAGGTATGATTCAAGATGGTGTTATGGTCCTTTCCCTTCCCTTCTCTGAATCTATCGTGACTGACATACACAAAATGCTTTCCTAAAATCCTCACTAGATATAGTAACTTTAATCCAGTGGGAATTATGAGCTCACAGGTCCAAATAAGAAATATCCGGGGAATAAAATAAGCTGAGGGAAATGAGACCAAGAACTTGACAAACTTATAGCAAAATTTGTATAGAGGATTAAAGAGCCAAAATAGGCAAGACACAACTGAAAGAAGAGATCTGTCCTCACCAGATCTCAGGACTTATTATGAAGCTACAGTGTTTATGACAAAACAATGCTGGCAGAGCAATTGAACACTGCTCAGTACACAGGTTAGAGAACTCAGAATAAGATCCATGTATATGGACAACTAAGTCATATGACAAAGAGGACAACAGATTGGAGGGAAAGGAGGGGAAACTGGACAATTAATACAACTGGAAAAAATAAAATAAAAATGGATCCCCATTTCACAACATATATGAAAATGAACAGCAGCTGAATTACAATCTAAAATTTTAAAGTCAAAATTTTAAATTTTTACTAGGAAATATAGGTACATAGTTTTCAGATCTTGTGTTCTGGAAAGATTTCGCAAATGACGTGCACTCAAAAACTGACTATAAATAAAATGATTGGTAAACTTGACTATATTTTATTAAGAATTTATCAAAAGATAAAGTAAAAATATGAGTTAAAAATTGGAAGAGGATATTGTTAAAGCATATAACTGGCAATTAGTAGCAAAATTTAAACAATTCATACAATTTTAATAGACTTTACTTTTTAGAGCAGTTTTAGGGACACAGCAAAACTGAGCGGAAAGGACAGAGTTCCCATATATTCCTCACCCCAACACACACACAACCTCACAACAATCAATATCCTGCACTAGAGTGATACATTTGTTAAAAACTGGTGAACCTGCATTGACACATCATAATAACCCAAAGTCTATGGTTTACGTTAGGCTTCACTCTTGGTGTCGTACATTCTATTGGATAAGAGAGAGCCGTACTGAGCAAAGCAAATTGCTGATGATACACAGTTTGGGCGATGTGCTGTGTGGTTACAGAGGCAGGAAAGGGCTGCCACCAGCCTTCAAAACGTGGTCGCTGGAGTGAGTCCACCACCTCCGAATGGCTGAATTTCAGATCGTGAGGCTGTCATTGACTGGTTGACTTTCAGGCTTTCGTTGTTCACTAACGTGAACACTAACATTTAAAACTAGTTCTCGTGTTTTCAGGGTCCCATGGCTAAAGAATGGCATTTTCCTAGGAGCGCAGGGACTTTTTCATTCTTGCTCCACATGTGTATCCTTTATATCGGAGAGACTAACTTGCTCCAGAACATGATTTTCAATCTCGGCTGCAATTTAGACCCACATCAGGAACTTTTAAAACTCCTAGTGTCTAGGCTGCACCTTGGACCAAGTAGATCAGAATCATTAAAAGCAGACCTAGGCATCAGTAGTTTCGGAAGCTTCCCCGGTGATCCCAATGAGCAGCCAGCTGTAGTTGAGTTGACGGAATGAATGCAATGATGCTCATTATCTCTTTGTTAACAAATCTTTTTTAATAGATGGGCGTCTGTAAGCTTATCTCATTGTTTTGGGCTCTGATTCCACTTAGCGTGCACATGTGGAACTCACTAGCTTTGTGAACAATAAGTATCAAACCTGGGAAATTTTCAAAATTACTTGGGGATCTGTCGTGTAAAGAATCTTTCCAGGTGAAGCTTTGCTTACCAATATTGAGAATGTGGTGTCCTCCTTCCCTCTGGATCTTATAGATCCATAATAGCCACATATTAAAAGTTTAGCTGTGATTACTTTAAAAACAAAACTAAAAAACGAAAAATGTCTGTTACCCTTGAGAGACTCATATTGATTACAACTTGTTAGGCCAATGTTAAGTGTCCAGC